TACATGTGTATATATATATATATATATATATATATATATATACACACATGTATACACATACACACACACGTGTGTATATATGCTGTGCACAAATCAGAAGATGCTTTTGCAGAATGAACACAGCCTGGTAAGCACCACACGGATCAAAGTGTAGACTACTGCCAGCACCCAGAAGTCTCCCTCTTAAATCCTCCTCGTCATTTCCCTCAAGGTAACTGCTATTCTGGTTTCTGTTACTATACATTGGTTTTACTTGTTATGGAGCTTTATATAAATTTAAAAAGTATAAACTCTGTCATGTCGGGCTGCTTTTGCTGAATGTTATCTCTGTGAGGTTCATCCATATTGGTGCATGCTGTGGTCACTCTTTTATATTGGTATATAATTATTCTGTTTAAGAAATATCCCACAATTTTTTTACTTATTGTATTTATTGGTGACATTTGAGTTATTAGGTTGTTTCACTTTGGGGCTATTAAGAATAATGCTGCTGTGAACATTGTTGTTCCTGTCTTTTGATATAAAAATATATACTTTTCTGCTGAATTGCTGGGTCACAGGGTATGCAGATTATCTTTAGTAAATACTGTCGAACAGTATTTGAAAGTTATTGTACCAATTTTACATTCTCAGCAACAGTGTATTGATACTTGGTGGTGTCAGTTTTAGAAATTTGTCATTCTGGAGTGTGGGAGTAAATCATTGTGGATTAATTCGCATTCTCCTAATAACTGATGATTTTAAGTACCTGTTTGGACACTTGAAAATCTTCTCTTGTGAACTTCTTAAGACTTTTGCAGAATTTTTATTGGGTTGTATATCTCTTATTAAATTGTACAATTCTTTACACATTTTGGATATGAGTTCTTTGTTGTGTATCTGTATTCCAGATCTTTTAAAGACTGGCTTGCCTTTTCACTCTCGAACGATGTGATGAGAAGAAAGTCTTCATTTTAATGAAGTTTGATTGAGGAATATAACTTCATGCTTACCGTTCTTGTTTCCTTTTCATCTTTCCCAAACTTTAAGAACATGAAGATATTCTGTGTTATTTTCTAAAAGCTTTATTTTACTTTTTATTTTCAGAATTACGGTCCCTCTGAAATTGATTTCTGTGTATGGTGTGAAATAGAGGTCATACTTCTTTTGTGTTTCTCCATATGGATTTCCAGTTCATCCAGGACTGCTTCTTGAAGACCACTCCTTTCCCACTGTATTGCGGTGGGTCTCTGGGTCCACTGTGGGCCAGTTTCTGGGTTCTGTTCTGTGCCATTGGTCTGTTTGTCTTTGTGCTAGTACCAGAGGTTTATCACTGAAAGTTTTGATACCTATAGTTTAGGTCTTCTTCAGAATTATCTTGGCTATTGTTGGCCCCTCGAATTTCACATCAATTTGGGAATCGGCTGTCAATTTCCAAAAAGAAATCTCCTGTAGCTTTGATTGGAACTGCACTGACTCTATATATTGATTTGGAGAGGATTGAAATCTTTATAGTATTGTGTCTTCCAGTCAGTGTACGTGACGTTATCTTCTAGCTTCTTGGGATGAACACTTATTGTTTTATAAGTCTTTTTTTCTCCTGTATGTGTTTAAGGTTATAAATTTCCCTCTAAGCATAGAATCTTAGTCCATATGGGCCACAATAACAAAAGTGCCATAAACTGGATGGCTTATAAGCAACAAATATTTATTTTTTACAGTTTTAGATGCTGGGAAGTCCAGGATCATGGCACCAGCAAATTCAGTGTCTGAGGACTTAACTACCTCTTTGATTGTGGTCTTACTGTAACCTCACATGCCAGAAGAGGCATGCTAGCTTTTTGGCATCTCTTTTATAAGGGCAGTAATCCCATTCATGAGGGCTCCCCCATCATGACCTAATCACCTCCCAAGGGCCCCACCTCCAAATACCATCACATTGGGCTTTAGGTTAGGTTTCTGAAGTTTGAGGGACACAAACATTCAGTTCATAGCACATGGCTTTAGCTATATCCCCCAGGTTTTGGTATATCACGTTTTCATTATTTCAATTCAAAATATTTTTGATTTCCATTGTAATATCTTCTTTTTCCCATAGGTTTGTTTTAGAAATATATTGCTTAATTTCCAAAAATTGGGGGACTTGTTAGTAATTTTTTTAGTTACTGATTGATAGCTTAATTCCATTGTGATCAAAGAACATGACCCAGCATGTGGTCAGTTTTGATAAATGTTCCATGTGCATTAAATGTGGGTTTTGCATTTTGGGGTACTGTATTCTCTCTATCAAATAGACCAAATATGTTCATGATGTTCAGATATTTTATATCCTCACTAATTTACTTGTCAACTTGTTTTATCAGTTACTGGGATAAATGTGTTGAAATCTGCTGTAATTGTGGATTTGTACATTTTTTCCCCTTTCATTCCATTTTGCTGTATAGTAGGTACAAACAAATTTAGGATTGTTATATCTTCCTGGTTGACTTAACTTTTATCATTATGAAATGTTCCCTTTTCTTTTAGTTAAACTTCTTAAAGTCAACTTTGTCAAATATTAGTATCACTACAACAGCTCTTGTTCTTGTAGGTATCAATAGCATATAGTTAGACATTTTTAATCCAGCCTGGCAGTCTTTGTCTTTTAATTAAAATATTTAGTCCATGAACTTTTAATATGATTACTAACATATCTGGATCTCAGTCTACCATGTTATTATTTATGATCTTATTTGTTCGTTTCTCTTTTGTCCTTTCTTTCCACCTCTTGGATTGATCTTTTTTTTATTATTCCACTTCTCTAATTATACATGCTTTTAGCATTCTTTTCGTGGTTATCCTCCACAAAACATGCTTTTTTTTCTTACTAGAATATACTTTAGATTAGTACTTGTACCACTTTCTGGATAATTACAGAACCTTCTAACATCTTTTCTCTCCCACACATGCAGCCTTTCATGTTATTGTCATATGTTAATTCTACATATACTTAAAACTGTATGAAACACTTTTGTTTGTATAGTCACTATGCCTTTAGAGTTATATATATATATTTACCTTTTTCAGTGCTCTTTATTACTTGCTGCATTTCCAGATTTTCATCTGGGATTATTTTCCTTCAGTGTAAGTAGTTCCTTTTGGTACTACTTTCAGTGTAAATTTGCTGGAAATAAATTCTCTATTTTTGTTTGTCTGAACACGTCGTATTTCAGTATATTTTTCATGTTTAAAGGGGTATTTTTGCTCGGTATAGAATTATAGATTGAAATTTATTTTCTTTTATACTTTAAATACGTTTTTCCATTGTCTTCTAGTTCCATAGTTTCTGTCAGATGTTAGTCTTATTGTTTGCATGTAGTGTGTCTTTTGCCCTTTGGCTGCTTCATGGTTCTGTCTTTGGGTTTTAGCAGTTTTATATCATGTGGCTTGGATTGGTTTTCTTTCTTCATCCAGCTTGGTGTTTCCAGCACTCCTTAAATTAATTACTTGCTGTTTTTCATTTATTTGGAAAATTTGGCCAGCATCTTTCAAATAATGCATCTGCCTCATTCTTTCCTTTATTTCTGGGGCTCCCAAGTGTGGAGTTTTTTTGTTTTGTTTTTACTGTGACCTATGTCTTATATCTTTAATCTAGATAAGAAAATATACCTATTTTCTACTTTTTCTATGTGTCCAGTCAGCTTTTAAACCTGTTGAATTCCTGATTTTGGTTATTGTATTTTTTGGATTTAGGATTTTCATCTGACTTTAATAGATTCCAGCCCTTTGGTGTGAGTTCTCCATATTTTAATCTATTTTAATGACTATGCCTAATAACTCAAATAGCTGAATCCCTTTGGATCTGCTTCTGTTGTCTTTTTTTTTTTTTTTTTTTTGCGGTACGCGGGCCTCTCACTGCTGTGGCCTCTCCCGTTGCGGAGCACAGGCTCCGGACGCGCAGGCTCAGCGGCCATGGCTCACGGGCCCAGCCGCTCCGCGGCATGCGGGATCCTCCCGGACTGGGGCACGAACCCGTGCCCCCTGCATCGGCAGGCGGACTGTCAACCACTGTGCCACCAGGGAAGCCCTGTTGTCTTCTTTTTTCTCCTGGTTTTCGGAGGTCTGTTCCTCTTCCCTGATATGCTTCACAATTTTTTTTTTCCAGTGATGGGTATCGTATGAAAAAATACAGGGATTCTGAACTATGTCCTCTAACTCCAGAAAGAATTTCATTTTTTTTCTGACAGGCAGATAGCATATGGGCATATCACCTTAATCCAGTTGAAGCAGTCTGTTTGTGGTTTGCCCTTACTCCTAGGGTGTAGTCCCTTGGTGGGGGGCGGGGGGACCTCACTTGAAAGCTTGGGTGTGTTGGGAACAGATCTGTCGAGATCCCTCTTCTTTGGCAGGCCCTGATCTACAAAATCTCTGCTTAGCTTTTTAACTTTCAGGAGCTTCTTTCTGTTTTGGTTTCTAAGTACCCAGTCACACATAGGCAGTTTAGGATTTGGCAAGTGCCTGGAGGGCAAGTTGTATGCAGAATGTTGGGTTCCCTTTTCTATAGTTTGACCCACAGGAAGGCTGCTCTGGTAACCTGATCTCCAGTTTTTCCTTCCCTGGCATGGTGAGACTGCTACAGAATTTAGCCTGCAGCTTTCTATTTGGCCTGTATGCCTTGTGATAAAAATCAGCAAATGCTCTGAGGGGGAAAACCTCAGGAAATCCCAGCTAACTTCAGAGCATTTATCTTTAGTCTTCAATCTGGCTATTTTGGTGATTCTCCAGTGCCTTCGGGCCATTTTCTGTTTGTTTACTTGCATGATTGCTTATTCCTCTTTGGTATTTGGTCCAGCTGGTGTAGTTGTCTCAGAGGGAGAGTTAGTCCAATACCTCCTACTGGGCCGTATCTCGAAGTGTGTGGCTTAGAGTCAGTATTTCTCATCCTGGCACTTGAAAACCTGCACAGTCTGACCCAAACCAACTTTCCCAGCCTTGCCTCTTCACAGCTGTTTTTCTTACCCTAGACTTTCCTGACATCCTTTTCTTTCTCCTCTCACAGTACTCTCCATGCCAACCAAATTCACTGTTGTCCCGGCCAGCACAATTTCTCCTTCTGATTCCTAGCACTGTAACCCACAAGATTCTTCCTCTGCTGTGAATTCATAGCACCAGGTGGCTGGCCACGGTAGCATTTCTTGATCGATTATATAATAAAAAATTATTCATTTAAATTTTTTCCAGGTAGGTGAGGGCATGGGACTTCTTTTATGCCCCTTTGTACCCAGTTTGATCTGCTACGTATCTCGCAGGTTAAAGCATCTACTACCAATGTAGAACCCGACCAAACATTAGAGATTACTGAGCAAGAAATTTTGAAGAGAAAACGGGAGAACGTGAAAGCCATTCTGCAGGCATATCGTTTTACAGGTATAGTTTTTTTCTGACCTGTTTCAGTCTGGGTCTCTTGTCTCTAGTGAGTTAGTTTGCAAGATGTATAAGTCCTGGACTGACTTCATGAACATTGACTTTTGCCCCCTTCAATATACACACACAAAGCTGGCATGCTATTCATAGGCAACTTTACCTACAAGATTGGCCTCTTTGTGCAGCAGCAGGTTGATCGGTGGCTGGCTTAGACTGTTCAATTTTAGCAATTTGACATGTGCTAGACGGTGTGCTAGAACTTTCTTTACTGCTGGCTTGCTTTATGCCACTGGTCAAATAGTTTGAACCCCTCAAGTCTCTGTTTCACCATTAAAATGAGGATTTATTTACCTATTATCTGTATCATAAGAGGATTGTGGGAAGACGTGGGGACTACCATAAATTACTTGACACTCAGGAAAAAAGAAGCATAAGTAAATTGAAAAGTTCAAAATCTCTTCCTCCATAATATAATATTTAGGATGCTTTTTCTTTCCCACCATTCTTCTGTGGTTTTATCAATTCAAAGTGAGCCAGAGTCAATGAGAAGAAAGTCTGTTGTCATTCATTCAACGAGCATTTGAGCCCATGATGTATCTAACTAGGCAGTGCTGAGGGGACTGAATGCACAGGTGAATAGGATACTGCCTTTGCCTGACATCTCTTAAGGTATCGTCTTATTTGTCTCAGGGATCAGTGGGAAACTGACCAGCCGAGGAGTCTGTGTCTGCATCAGCACTGCTTTTGAGGGGAATCTGCTGGATTCCTATTTTGTGGACCTTGTCATGCAGAAACCACTTCAGATACATCACCATTCGATTCCAGTCTTCATTCCCCTGGAGGAGATATCTGCAAAATACTTACAGACTAATATTCAGCACTTCCTGTTCACTCTCTGCGAGTACCTGAATGCTTACTCTGGGAGGAAGTACCAGGCAGATCGACTTCAGGTATCTGCGATCTTATAAAGCATTTTGTGAGCCCAGATAAGCTTAAAAGGAAAAAAAGGGACATGTTCTTTTGTACTTTCAAATGTTTCATAACTCTGAGCCGGAAGTTTGACCACTGTCCTTCTAATGCTTGTTTCTTATTAATATACAAGCTGTCTTCCACCTTCTCTTCTGTTGAAACTCTGGATGATGTTGAAGCATGGATACCAGTTAAGGGATTATTCACTCATGAATGGTGATGCTCAAGCTTTTGTACTTGACCCTTCCTTCGCCTCACAAAGTGGTAGGGTATAGTTGCTATACTTTTAATTCAACAGGAATTTATAGAGTACCTACTATGTGCCGGGTGTCTTGCTGAACCTTGGGTATAGGTGCAAAGCAGAATAATGGTTTTTTGAAATACCACAGAGGAATACTCTCCATCCTTGCCTAAGCTCTGGCTTACCTTCTATTTAGGGTTGCAGTTGAGCTTAGGGTTGAGGTAAAAAGGGAAAAAAAAGGTAGACAGGAAATGAATGCAAATAGGGAATAAGTGACTCTTAAAATAAGTGACTCTTATACCTCTTTATGCATTTGGAATGACTCTGGAGCTCCTGGTTGTCAGATAAACTTAAATTGATATGTAGCCTGGTTGTCAGATAAACAAATTGGTACGTGAATGTAGACATGAAGCATCTCAGCCATATATATGTCAATGCAGTTCTTGGCAGAAATATTTCGTATCTCCCCTGTATCCCCAGCCCCTGGCCATTTACTTAGACTCTAGGCTGCTATCAGTTCTTAATTATCTTATAAATTCTCTGTCATTTGTCCTTTCTTCAGGCCTTTCTCTGTCCTTCATTTATTTCTCTGAGATTTAATTAATAGGCCCTGTTTTTGGTAGACATGTTTGAAGCGTCATAACCACTCACTGGCTTTGGAGTTGTAGTTGTCATATACTTTGTGTCTCTTTTGATCCTCACCCCCATTAGAGTGACTCTGAAGCCTTTCTGGCTGGGCCTTTGCAGAGAAACTCACTATGCAACTTGCTGTCATTTACTTACAAAGCGGAGCCGGAAGGCCAGTCCTTCCCATTTTGTGCTAGACTGCTATATAAGGACCTCACAACAACTCTTCCAACTGATGTCACTGTTACTTATCAAGGTAAGAGGAAGGGTACCTCCGGGAAGAAATTATAATATGCCTGGGTTACTCAGGTTGATTGAAACAGGGTGAAATAGACTACATCAGTTGGGCCTCTTGAGACACTTTCTTCTGTTTATGTACTATGAACAGAAAAATATGAAGACAGATACCAAGAATATCTTCCTTGTTTCTACCAAATTTTCCTCTCCTCTTTGTAAGTAGTAAACATAATTATCCTAGTTTTTCTTTCTCCTTTGCTCCATCCAACTCCGCCAGAGTTCTTTCAGCTTATGATTTGTTTTCATTGGAGACCCCTCTTAGACAACTAATGAGGCTGTGTCATAGGGTCACTGTGGTGGAGAGAGCCAAGACTCGTTTCACTGTGAAACCAAGTAGACATGACAAGTCAGCATATACTTAGCTCTCCAGAGACTTCTCTAAATGAGAATTTTTCAGGGATGGCCGAGACATTTGCTGTGACTTTGTTTTCGTTAAGTGTACCATAGTACATGGGCGATAATGAGGAAAAGGATAAAATGTTTTTAGGAGGCAGAAATTTTGAAGCTGCCACAGGTTTCACATCATAGGCTTTAGCTTTCTCTGGGCAGTTTCTGGTCTCAAAATTTCACTGGACCAGTAAGGGGCAAGCCTCTCACAGCTCCAGACCAAATTAAAAAAAAAAATTACATGGGTCCAGAATATTAGTGATCCAAGTTCTGATTGATTCCTACAGTTGCACTAAATGAGATTGATAGGTTCTATCTTTTTTTTAGGGACAGATGCATTATCCACCACACGGGAAGAACAGCGAGCAGCCCATGAAAATCTGTTTTTTACAAAGCCCCTACATCAAGTGTTTACTTCATTTGCAAGAAAAGGAGACAAGCTGGATATGAGCCTGGTCTCCTAGAATATTATTTTCATTGGGAACACATCAGAAGTGAGTAAACTAGTACTGACCACAGTTGCAAGCAAGGTCCTGGGAACTGAAAACTGTTGAAAGGCTCAGACTCCTTGCCTGGGGACGGTCCTTGCAATGAGAACAGACACCCACCTCACCAGCATGGTTAGGGGCAAGTTTGAGTCTGTAGACCCTGGCATTTTCAGACAGACAGTTCTCCCTGATTGCCTGGTCACTTGTTATAATGCTCAAGAGTATCTCTTCTCTTGAGATATTGATTTGATCATACATTTTAGCTGAAAATCAGAGTGGTCTGTGGGGTAATAGAGGGGATTTTGTGAAAAAGGGAGTATGTACCATTCAATTGAAGAGTATTTCTAGCTTTTATGATACCTTCAAGTCATTTTGCCTTACTTTCCTTATTTTCGACTTTTGAAAAGAAAGTTCTTAGAACACTCTAGGTTCACGATATGACATGAATCATATAGTTAAGAAGGGAAGTGTGTTTAATCTTTGGTTTGGAACAGAATATTCTAGGTCACTGCTTTACAAAGAATATGGCATGAGAAAGTACTATGGATAAAATAATCAGGGTTCCATGTATCTACTAATGTCGTTTCCTAGAACATGTTTGTTAGTAGAGCACGGAATGTGTATTAAGCTCAGCGGTAAAAACGCATGATCAGAAGTCTCCTCGTAATTTGATCACTGCAGAGGGAAGCGGACCCCTCTCCTTTATCTCTTCCCTCTCCTGCAAGCTCCAGGCCCTGGCTGTACATGTGTCTTCCTCATCTCCTGGTCCAGTTAGGGTACCACTTCTCGTAACCATGGCCTCTGCTCTGCTGGTGCTTTTTGTTCCTTGGCTTGGGAGTATACGCAGGGCTAGTGCTCGGATGTAAAAACCTGTCATCGTGCTATTTTAATTCCTGTCCCGTTTCCCGCCCCACCCCACCCCCCAGTCACAAATAAGAGTCATTACCACCTGTACTGCCCAAGGCCAAGACCTGATGGCCACGCAGCAACCTGCAGGTGTGGCAGCCCCAGCTAACTCTGGGAGGAGCACAGGGGAATGGTCAAGCCAGCTTGGACCACCATTTAGAAAGAAGCAGCTTAAGAAGAGAGCAAGGTCCTAGTTTAAGCTCTTGCCTTCCAGGCACGTGGTGAGGACCAGTGTGGGAGGCAGCAAAGCACTTCTCAGGTGAGGGCTGTTAACAGAATTTTCCCAGTGATTGCATTCAAGCTGAATAAAGCTTTTAATAAAACAGTCTTGTTCTTTATCAATACCTGTAAATTTGCTTTTAAAGCAGTAGCAAACGAGACTGTAGCAAGAGCTCAAAAGGCAAGGCAATATCGGAGTGTTTTTTAACAGAAAGTTAAAAATATAAAAATGTAGACGATCTGGTTATATATATTTTTCTTTCAGAAATAAAGTCCCTTTCCCTCCCTCCCTCCCTCCCACCAGGTAAAAGGAAATATTGCACGTTCTGCTCTCATGACTAAGGTGACTGACTAGGGTTCCAGAAGAACCTTTCAAGATTATCAGGACGAGGCCCATTTCACGTAACTGGGACCACAGAGGCAAGCAGGTCTTTAGAGTGAAAAGCACTGCTTCCAAGTTCTAGCTGGGGACAGAGCAGCTGCCAGCCCTGTCGTAAACAGAGCTGCCCCACCTGTGCTCCCAGCCAGGCCCAAAGGCAGCAGCCTTGTTCTGCCTCTGGTACATTCCTCCTCACAGTGGCCACGGCC